CAAGATGGCGGCATAGGAAACCACTTAACTGCAGCCTCATACAATTTTTTAAAAATATATTTTATTGATTTTCCACAGAGAAAAGGAGAGGGATAGAGAGCTAGAAACATCGATGGGAGAGAATCATCGATCAGCTGCCTCCTGCACACCCTGTACTGGGGATGTGCTCACAACCCAGGTACATGCCCTTGGCCGGAATCGAACTCGGGACCCTTCAGTCCGCAGGCTGACGCTCTATCCACTGAGCCAAACCGATTTTGGCTCACACAACAATTTCAATAAAATACAAAATGGACATTACCCAGCACTACAGGAAAGTCGACTGACTGGAAATTCTACAACGAGAAGGAAAGAGAAAACCTGAAGGAAAATCAGAGGAGCTGTAAAAGCCTAAGGTATGGAGACATAGTGCATGCGCAGAGAGGACAGAGCTGGAGAGGAGGGGGAGGCTGAGTGCCTGGCTGGCGTTCCCTAGCGGGAAGGAGATAAAAGCTCCGACTGTGCTGAACCCCAGTTCTGACAGCACTGAACTCCAGTTCTGAGGGAGATGCTGGGAACCCAGACACATAAGAAGGGAGCCGGGGCTGTGAGGCAGAACCTCAGGGGAGCGGCGAAAGGCAGTCCCAGAGGCGCGCACATTACGCGCAGAGGACGGACTGTTGACTCTGCTGCTACATTGCCCTAGCGGGAAGGAGACAAAGGCTCCCGACTGTGCTGGGCCCCAGTTCTGACTGCACTGAACTCCAGTTCTAGGCCAGACCCTGGGAACCCAGGCTCACACAGAGGGAGCTGGGCTGTAAGGCAGAAACTCAAGGGAGTGGCAAAAGGAAGTCCCAGAGGCGCGCGCATTGCCCGCAGAGAACGGACTGTTGACTGTGCCGCTGGATTGCCCTAGTGGGAAGGAAACAAAAGCTCCGGGTTGCTCTGAACCCCACTTCCAACCCCACTTCCAACTGAACTGAACCCCAGTTCCGGGCTCATTGGGGGAGAGAATAGACTGTTTGGTAGCAGGCGAAACTCGAGGGCACCTCACTCTCAGAGGTGCTTGCAGCGAGTACCAAAGGACACTGAGGAACACTGAGACTCAGGAGCCTCATAGGGCGGGGATGATGGAAGCCAAGGCTATAGGCTCCACCCTGAAACTTCACCCCATCCAAGCTAAACACAGAGACTTTTAAGGCTACCAACTTAGGGAAGCTGCGAAAATGCCAAGACAAGGAAACAGATTACAAACAAAAGAAATGGAGGACAAAAAGCGACTGGATATACAGTTCAAAATCACGCTTATAAGGTTTTTCAAAAATTTCCTAGAAAAGGCCAATAAAATAAATGAGACCTATGAGGATATGAAAAGGGATCAACTAGAAATAATAAGGGGTCAGATAGAAATAATAAGGGATCAACAAGAAATAGAGAATACATTGTCTGAAATAAAAAATATTATACAGAGTCCTAAAAACAGAATGGAAGATCGTAAGTATCAAGTCAAAGATTTGGAACATAAAGAGCCAGAAGACACTCCTCCACAGAAGCTAGAAGGCAAGAGAATCCAGAAAGTTGAAGATAATGTAAGAAACCTCTGGGACAACTTCAAGCGAACCAACATCAGAATTATGGGGGTCCCAGAAGAAGAGAGAGAACAAGATACCAAAAACATACTGAAAGAAATAGTGACAGAAAACTTCCCCCACCTGGTGAGAAAATTAGACCTACAAGTCCAGAAAGTGCACAGAACCCCAAACAAAAAGAATCCAAAGAGGACCACACCAAGACACATCATAATTAAAATTCCAAGAGCAAAAGACAAAGAGAGAATATTAAAAGCAGCAAGAGAAAAGCAGGTAGTTGCCGAAACCGGTTTGGCTCAGAGCGTCGGTCTGCGGACTGAAAGGTCCCAGGTTGGATTCCGGCCAAGGGCATGTACATTGGTTGCGGGCACATCCCCGGTAGGGGGTGTGCAAGAGGCAGCTGATCGATGACTCTCTCTCTCATCGATATTTCTCTCTCTCTCCCTTCCTATCTGTAAAAAATCAATAAAATATATATTTTTTAAAAAATAAATAAATAAACTAATTCAAAACTAAGAACAGGTCCTTTAGACTAGATTTAATTTTTAGAAGTTGATTGCTCTAGTACTTATAAAGAACAAAGAGGCAAAATCAGAAAAAAAGATTTAATAAAAATAAAAATAAAAATAAAGAATATACATAAAATTGGAAGTGCTGTTTTCAGGCCATTGAAACTTTCCATGTAGTTTATGTTGTGGCCAAAGAGGAAATGAGGTGGGCGTGACCTCCCGGCGAGTGTGCAGCGGGAGGGTGGCGTGGCGCACCAGAGAGGAAGCGTGAGTGACGGACCACAAATCCAAAGGGGACTGTTCAGGGCAGGTGTCCCCACTGCTAAACAAATCCCCATGAGAAACGAGAGGTGGCCCTCTGGACTGGGCGTCTCTAATCCAGAAGGATTCAAATGGCCTAGCACTAGCACTTTTCAGAGGAAAGACTTTCAAGCAGAAGACCCGAGCCGGGAATTGTGGGAGCCATGGCCATGCGGGCGGAGGGTCGGCCGCGGGGAAGTGCGGCCCGGCGCTCGGGAGGCTGTGAGGGAAGAAGCCTGATGAGCCTGGCAATGGAGTCACCGGAGTAGGATTCAAAGGTAAACCCTCGACGAGCTGCTGCTGCTGCTCTTCGAGCAGCAAACTCAGGGTGCCCGAAGCCGGGTGAAGTCTCCCCTGCCCCGTGGAACCCTCCTGCGTTTCAGCACCGAATGCTAGGCCCAGAGGGGCGAGCGGCTACAAATGAGTGAGGTGTCTGCACCGGCCGGAGGCAGGGCTAAGGACTCCAGGCGGCTTTTTCTGGCGGGAGTTCTCAGGGCGGGGCTGGATCCAAGGAAGGTCCTGAGGGGAGAGAGAATGGTCTGATGAAAGGGACTGCCCTTGTGACGTGCCTACAGACCGGTTCCCAGGGGGCGCACCGCTCAGTGTGTGAGCAGACCTCACAGGCCCCGGGGGGCCAGTCCCTCCTGCGGCCCGAGCTGCGCCGGCCGGGCTGAGGGCCGCACCAGTGTCCCCCACAGAGGCCGCTCACCCGCGCCAGCCCTCCCCGGCCTCACCAGAGCCGGGCCCACAGCTGGGCAGACCCTGGGCGGCCGGAGCCAGAGGGAGAGCCGCGCAAACTGCAAACAACTTACACGCCCTCCCCCCCATCCCGGCCTCCGGCGGCCCCGCCCGGAGCCCACGCCCTGGGGAGCCACCAGGAAACGGTCCAGCATGTTCTGCTGCCCCCCCTCCCCTAAGGTTCCCACCTGAGAGAGACCCTCAGGACAGAGGCCCGGGGCTGCCCGCCCCAGTCTCCCCCCTCCCCCAGGCGCGCGGCCCCTGAACTAAGGGACCCCGTGGGATTGCAACCAGGGGAGCTGGTCCCCCTTCCTCCCTGTAGATCCAGTAACAGGTCCTGGGAGGATTTAAAAAGCTGTCACTGAGGAAGGTGGCGGTGCGGCTCAGGGCAGGCATTTGCCTGGTCATGGCCTCTGCCTCTGCCTGCGTCTCCGGTGAGGCTGAAGGGGGCTCAGCTGGCGGCCCGACGGAAGCAAAGCCCAGGAGCTGACCCCGGAGGATGAGGACTCACCCAGGTACTCACAGGGAGCGGGGAGGGAGGGGCAGTGAGGGGGAGGGCGGGGCAGGGAGGGAGGGCTGTTTTCCCGCTAATTACCCTCTAGCTCTGGCGGCTCAGGCCCGCGGTCAGCCTCCGGCCGGGCGCCGTGAGGCCCGGTGGGCGGGGCCCCGCTGGGCTGTGTTGAATGGAGACGAGACCACCCAAGAGGCAGAGACCCCTACCCGGGAAATAACTCCAACTAGCCAATTGCGGAGTCAAACAACAAACTTTATTGCAGATTCGAATCTGCGCGGGCCAGGAGCAGCAGCAGCCGCTACAAAGCAGTCTCCTTTTAAGCACTGTTCAAACAAGCACATTCCAAACAAGGGGGGTGGAGGCCCACCGGGCTGAAGCTGATAAGTTTCTATATCGCTTAGCCTTGTGGTTGCATGCATCGGCCACATCTCCCTTCTTGGTTCGTTCTGTTATTTTAGCCTTGACTAACCCAGACTGTTGATTTAGCCTTCAGGTCCAGGAGCGGGAGGGAGCTACCCTCCAGGCAAGGTCAGTAATTTTCCACTCCTCAGGCTGGAGATGCTGCGGCCCCAGTCCGGGCTGCACAGCCCCCGGGGGAGCCGGGGAGGCCCGGGGCCGCCGCCGCCTGTCCCGGGCCGGGCTGGGTGCGGGTTCTCAGTTCGGGTGTAACCTTCCCGAGCCCCGTGAGGCCGGGCCGGAGGCGGGGCGGGCCGTGGGCGGGTCCTCCGGCTCTAGGCTCCCGCCGGCCGGCCCACAGCCTGCAGCGGCGGCGGGAGCGTGTCCTCGGCACCCGCCTGGGCGGTGAGCGGCGGGGCGGCGGGTTGGCGGGCTCGCCGGGGTCTGTCCGCGCCTCCGTCCCAGAGCGGAGCCTCCGGCCGGCTGTGTGGCCTGTGCGGGTGCCGCCCGGCACGTGCTGGGAAAGCGGGGTCCCGGGAAGGGCGGCCCGGGGGCTGGCCGGCTCCTGGGTCCTGCCCCCCGGAGGCCCGGGACGCGCGGGGAGCGCAGGGGTGGGGTGGCAGGCGCGGGGCGCAGGGGGATCCGGGGGGCGTGGGGCATGGGGGGGTGCGGGAGGCGCTGGGGGAGCGGGGGTCGGGGCGCGGGACGCTAGGGGCGGGGGGCGCTGGGGGATCGAGGCGTGGGGGGCGCTGGGGGAGCGGGGTGGGGGGGGCACTGGGGGAGCGGGGCCTGGGGGACCCGCACCAGCAGGGCCAAGGCCGGGCTGGGCAGGGGCTGGCAAGGGCCCTTGGATTGAGCAGCCCTGAGGGCTGGTTCGGTCAGGGGCCAGGGTGGGGCTAGGGGGCTGGCCCACGTGCCGTGGGAAGCCGTTGGCGGGTTTGGGGTTAGAGGGAGACTGGGGGGTGGGGGGGCTCAGGGCTGGAGAATGGCGACTCCTCGCTCAGGGATGGAGTTCTGGAGCGGACAGGCCCCTGCGCCAGATGGCCGTTCTGCCTGCACCTCCGTCCCCGCGCCCGGGAGCTCCGAGCAGCCTCGCCCCGCAGGCCGCTGCCGCCCGGCAGGTGGCGGACGCTGGGATGGTGCCTCGCGGGCAGGGGCAGGGCCTTGCGCCCAGACGTCCTTGGCAGCACCGGCCTGGGTTAGGGCGGGGCTGTCACCCGCACGCTGTGCTCCGGGACCGACCCGAGAGGGGGGGCGCCTTTGTCTCAGAGGGAAGCTGTGCTCCTCACTGCCCCCCCCCCCATGTTTTGTCTCTGCTGCTCCCCACGCCCCTCTTGCTGATGTGCTGTCTCTCTGACCTCAGGCTCCGGGAGGAGGGCACCAGCCCGCGGTGAGACGCAGGGAGGAACGGCCGGCGCCTTCCCAGCCCCAGCCGGGCGCCCGGGGCCGGTCCCTGAGCTCAGAGCGGCCGGGGGCTCCGGAGGACGGAAGCAGCCCGGGAGCAGATGGTCCGGCGCCGGGAGCCGGACAACGAGGGCCTCACGGCCGCTCCCCTGGGGCTCTGCCGCCTCAGGGCGGGAGGTAGCCCGGCGCCGGGGAGGGGGTGGCCAAGGTAGGAAGAGGCACCATGGGCGTGCAGGAGCTGTGCCCCGGCCCCGGCCCCAAGCAGGAGGCCCCGCGGGTGGCGGCGAAGAGGCAGGCCTGGGCGGAGGTGAGGAGACCAGCTGGGGTGTCCCGGGCGGGCAGCTTTCACCCACCCCGTCTGCAGGCCACATGGCACCTCAGGCTGCTTCAGCCGAGCAGCGCAGGAGGGGCCGCGGGCCTTCCCGGCAGCACCGCGCCCTCACGGCCTCCCCGGCCACCGCCGCAGCCTGTCTGCTTGCTCCCGACCCTGGTCATTTTCCTCATAAACCCTCCCTTTGCTCCTCTCCCTGCCCTCCTCCCCTCCATGGCACCGCTGCTCCCTGCCCCTCCCTGCTGTGGTTTCCCTTCTGGGCCCAGCTCCCGGAGCCCTCTCTTCCAGGAGCCGGTCACCCTGGAGGACGTGGTGGTGCGCTTCAGCCCGGAGGAGTGGGCATGCCTGGACGCCGGTCAGAGGGCCCTCTACCAGGACGTCATGGCCGAGACCCTCCGAGCCCTGCTGTCTGTGGGTAAGCGGCCACCTGGCCTGCCTGGCCTGGCTCCCCTGGCAGGCAGGCCCTCACCTCGGGCAGCCTCACTGGCCCCTGGTTCTCGGCCGTGAGGCCTGGGTCTGAGCCCAGGGAGAGAGGACAGGGCTGAGAGCCTCGTGACGGAAGGCAGCGGCAGTGCTGCCAGGATGGCTGCCTCCGGGCGGGCAGCGGCCCTCCTCAGCCCGCTCCCGGCCGCTGGGCGAGGCCACTGCTCAGGGCCGGCCTGGCAGGCCTCCCTGCGTCTGTTTTCCAGCGCTCACACCGCACAGGCAGCCTGCTGCCCCTTCAGGGAGGGCCCCTCAGGGACCTCAGCTCTTCCTCCCGCCCTCCCTGCAGCCAGAACCGCCTCGTCTAATGCAGCCCTGGCCGCCGAGCTGGAGGAAGAAGAGCAGCGCTGGAGAGCAGCCCTCCTTCCCGCGCGCGGGGGCGGCCACCCTGCAGGTGCCCGGGCTTGGGGAGCTTATGGCCGCGGGCCAGAGGGCGGAGGGCCTGCCTGTGGCCGCTTGTCAGGGGCTCCTTTGCTGAAGTCCCTGCGAGAGGAAAGGAAGGACAGGGCGGACTTGACGCCCAGAGGGTCGGGGAGACTGGCTCCTGGGAGGTGAGGCCGAGAGAGGCTGCGTGCGCCAGGCCGGCCGCGGCAGGCCCAGAGCCCGTGGGCACCGCTCTGAGCGCCCTCTCCTGTCGTCTGCAGGGTGTTAGGACAATGAGAGGAACTGGGTTTCAAAAAGTGTTGTAAGTTAATATTTTAATCTGACATTGTTGAGAGATTCCAGTTGAGGTTTCACTTGCTGTTAATCAGAAAACCCTGGAACGGCGGAGGGTGCAGAGCGAGGCGGGTGCGGGCGCGGACTGGGGGTGAGCCTCGCTGTCTCTTCTCCGTCCGGCAGGAGGCGAGGAGCAGCCCGGAGGCAGGGGCTCGGGCCCGAGCTCTTCCCCAGCGGGGCCCCTGGGCGGGACCCCCGAGCCGTCGGCGTCCGGGGCGCGGCCCCCCTTCCCCTGCCCCGTCTGCGGCAAGGGCTTCAGCAAGCGCTGCAGCCTGCGCCACCACCAGCGCGCCCACGGCCGGGAGCGCCCGAACCGCTGTGGCCAGTGCGGGAAGGCCTTCCGCAGCCCCAAGGCCCTGGCCGACCACGGGCGCACGCACCTTGGGGAGCGGCCCTTCCGCTGCGGCCTCTGCGACAAGACCTACTGCGACGCCTCGGGCCTGAGCCGCCACCGCCGCGTGCATCTGGGCTACCGGCCGCACTGCTGCCCGCGCTGCGGCAAGGCTTTCCGCGACCGCTCCGAGCTCAAGCGCCACCAGCGGATCCACGGCGCCGCGGCGCCGGCGGGCAGCCATGTGCCGGCGGCCCGGACCCAGGAGGCCGCAAGCAGGGCCCAGGGCCCGGCAGCTGGGCTGCGGCCGCCCGCCGACAGGATCCCGGTGCTCGTGGTGAGAGCGCAGGCCCCCGCGCCGGCGCCCCGGGGCCCGAGCACCGGGCCCCAGGCCCCCCTGCAGGAGCATTCGGCGCGCAGGGCCTCCGCCGGCCCTCCCCGCCCCCTGGCCCCGCGCCCCCGGCACCAGGAGCCCCGCCGCGGCCGCTGCGGCCAGTCCTGCCGCTCGGCCCCGGGGCCGCTCCGCCACCAGCAGCTCCAGGGCGCGCCGGGCTACCGCTGCCCCGTCTGCGACCTGTGCTTCAGGGAGCGGGAGGCCCTGGTGGTGCACTGGCGGGGCCCCCGCGGCGAGGGGCTGTGCCGGGCGGTCCTGGGCCGGTGGCTGGGCCTCTCGCCGCGCCCTCCCTGTGGCCGGGAGCGCAGTGGGTCTCCGAGGGGCCGCACCCCCAGGAGGCGGCAGAGCAGGAAGGGAGAAGAGGTGCGGAGGAAGAGAAGCCGCCGGGGCGCAGACAGCCTTGGACGCGAGTAGACGCGCTGCCGACGGAGGACGGGCGGACGCAGGCCGGCGGAGCGGCGGAGGCAGAGGCGCAGGAACACCCCGTTTCTGTCTCACCCCATAGAGCAGGCTGGTTGAGCAAAACGGTGGTGCATGGACATGGAGGAAGGGAAGGGTGGGGAAGTCGAGGCTGGAAGTACAAGGCGGCCACCACCCCTTGGTCCCCGGCTCCTCAGGAGGCCCAGGCGGGGCTCGGCCCGGAGCTGGCTCTCCCAGCCCCGCTGCAGCTCACTCTGCCTTTGGTTTTTGGACTCAGCATGTTCCCACCTCCACTCAGCCGCTTGGGACTGCGTCACTGCGATTGGCACGCTGTGGGAGGCAGCGGCCCCGCCCTCCGCGCCCCGCAGAGACGCGAGCGCCTGCGGGCGTCGGGGTGGAAGGCAGGAGGCGGAAAGATGTAGGTACAGCCCTGGCTGGTGTGGCTCAGGGCACCGTGTCAGCCTGCGGACTGAAGGGTCCTGGCTTCGATTCTGGTCAAGGGCACATGCTCAGGTTGTGAGCTGGATCCCCAGTAGAGGTGGTGCAGGTGGGAGCCAATCCATGATTCTCATCATTGATGTTTCCATCTCTCTTTCCCTCTCCCCCTCTGAGGTCAATAAATGTATATGTACATGTATATTTAAAGAAAACAAAGGCGGAGGTACAAAAACAGGAAAGAGCTGGGGAAAAAGTAGATGACAGAAGAGAAACAAATGGGTGTGTCGAGAAGGTGGAACAACAAACTTAAAAAAAATAATGAAGAAACGAGTCCTATTTGGGATTCGGAGCGTTCCTGGAAGTGCACGTTGGAAGGTGCCCACAGCCCAGAGGCCTGATGGATGCAACATCCCGAGGACCGGTCCTCAGCCCAGCCAGCCCTCCGCTCCTGCCCGTGCGGCTGCCCTCAGAAGGGGTTTCCTAGGAGAAGAAAATAACTGGGAAAGTGCCGGCAGTCACCTCCATGAAACCACCAAACGCCCTCTGGGCCGCCCGCCTGGGCCTGTCTCGGGGCGGGGCTGGGGCTGAGGCCTGCAGGCAGCTGCCCTGGGAAGGGGAGGACTGGGCTGTGCCCAGGGGCACGTAAGGGGCGCCCTTCCCGCTGCCCGTCCAGCTGGTAAGACGGCTGCTACCTCAGAGCCCCTCGCCCGTGCAGCCAGCCCCCCTGTCCTCTGGGCTGCCCATCCTCAGCCCCTCTTTTGCTGCTTTCCTGTGGTTTTTGTTGTTTGTTTTTCAGCTTATAAGGAGGAATGAACTTACTTAGTTCTTCAAGAAATTGCCCTGAAAACAAAGAGAAGGAGGTGACTGGTGGGAGGTGACAGCTCCTGCCCGCGCCTCCCTGTCAGCTCTGCAGGGATGCACCCCCTTTCCACTAGGGGACCCCCGCTGGCCCTGGTGACAGGGAGGCCCAGCTCATCTTCCCGCCCCTGCTCGGGCCCTGTGCGCCCCACCCCGGCACCTGCCAGTCTTCGGTGCAGCCAGTTGTAGCAGACGACCAGGGCGGCCAGGGGCCCGAGCACTGGCACGGCCACGAACAGCGTCACCTTCCAGCAGGGCACCCTCAGGAAGTGAGGATCTGGGTTGTCCACCGAGAACAAGCAGGATTAGCGGATGCCCATGCCCCCTCCCTATTGTTGGGGTTTCTTAACATGCTGCAGAAGTCTGCAGAGGTTGCTTACGTTTCCAGCTGTTTAAACGGCATCATTAGGCCTGGGCAGCGTTTCAGTGGGGCCTGGCCGAAGCCCGGCTAGCCATGTGGTTGGACTCCCGCACCCGGGACCACCCGCCGCGACTGGTCCAGCCGACGGGCACTTGGCTCCCCAGTCACTCCCCCCAGATGGCGGGATCTGCAAAGGCCCTGCTTGCCCGCCTTGTCTCCTGAAGAGGCCTGTGCCCGGAGGTGATGCCCGCGGGGCGAGCCTAGCCCGCCCCCCCCCCATGCAGCTGTCATTCAAAGGAGAAGCAAGAGGAGACAGCAGGAGCCGGGCCTGGCCCCGGGCCCAGCACTCACCGAAGGTCCTGTGGAGGCTCTCTGGAAGGAAGAGAGGGAGAGGGACTTAGAGGGCCCGGAGGCCACAGGTCTCCTCCGGGCCGATGTCGTAGTCACCTACAGCGCTCTGCCTGACAGGGACGGGCGGGTGAGGGAAGCTGCGGGGTTGGTGCCTGCCCTGGCTCACAGAAGGCAAGAGGAATGAAATGTTCTGTCATTTTGGCCGCTTTGGGAGTTTTAAAGGGGACTCGGGGATTGGCAGAGATGTCCTGAGAGAAGGACCGCTTTGGTGAGGCCAAACCGGAAGGGAGGGGTGGCGGGCAGGTAATGAAACTCACCTATCTCCGCTCGCAGTTTTCCTAAAACGGAAGGCACCACAGTGAGTCCCCGGGCGCACGGCCCACCCGCCCGCCCGCCCGCCCGCCCGGCGGGAGCTGGCTGTGGTTGGGAAGAGCCCAGGCTCTTCACCTGGCTATTGTCTGGATTAAATATTGGGGTAAAGAGTGTGGGAACCCCGGTGCGCAGCAAAGCCCCAAACCAACAAGATTTTCTTACCTCCCCCTGCTCCTTGGCTTTCCGCCACCCTCTCAGGTGGGGCACCCCCTGCTGGGCCCACTTTGTGAATGTAAATCCGCCCCATCTGACGGGAAGGGCAGGGCTGAGCACTTGGGGAGCAGCCGCCTCCACGCACTTTACATGACATTAGCCTCCCGCTGGCTCTGTCTGCGGCGGGCGGAGGCCTGGTTCCTCCTGCTCGGCCTGTGGCTGAAGGCCGTGTGTATGCGGACCAATTCGGGGAGAAAAAAGCCCCCACTTTCTGTGCCAATATCTCCTCCCTCCCAAGCCCTCTTGCTGTGGGAGGGGAAGAATGGTCCCGGGCTTTGCCCTGAGAACGTGGGGCGGGGGGCGGGGATGGACTCAGAAGGGCTTGGTGCTGAATGGAAGCGCAAGGAGGGTTTCTGAGGGCAGCCGTGCGCGTGCGTGCGTGCGTGCGTGTGTGTGTGTGTGTGTGTGTGTGTGTGTGTGTGTGAGCCTGCCTGCCTGACCAGCTCGTGCCCTGCGGGCTTCCGGCACGATCTGCTCCTGCTGGGCTGCCTCAGGCGCAAGCCCCCTCAGGGTGCAGGGTCTGCGGCGGACGGCGCCCAGCTGCGCGAGCCTGGCGTGGGGCTCTGCACCCAGGAGCCCAGCGGGGAAACGCCGGGAGCCGCCATGCTGGGAGGGCACCGCGCGGCGGGCGTACCTCTCAGCCTGCGCTGCAGGACCAGGAAGAGCAGGCCTGCCGCCAGCTGCAGCAGGAGCAGGGGCAGCACCGCCAGGCCGGCCAGCGCGCCGGGCCCCACCCAGTGGAAGGGATCTGGAAGAGAGCACAGGCGGCCTGTGGGGGGGCGGGGGCTGGGGGAGCACAGGCGGCCTGTGGGGGGGGATCTGGGGGAGCACAGGCCGGCCTGTGGGGGGGGGCTGGGGGAGCACAGGCGGCCTGTGGGGGGGGGGAGCACAGGCGGCCTGTGGGGGGGGGGAATGGGGGAGCACAGGCGGCCTGTGGGGGGGGGGCTGGGGGAGCACAGGCCGGCCTGTGGGGGGGGGCTGGGGGAGCACAGGCCGGCCTGTGGGGGGGGGGGGAGCACAGGCCGGCCTGTGGGGGGTGGAATGGGGGAGCACAGGCCGGCCTGTGGGGGGGGGGCTGGGGGAGCACAGGCCGGCCTGTGGGGGGGCTGGGGGAGCACAGGCGGCCTGTGGGGGGGGGGGCTGGGGGAGCACAGGCGGCCTGTGGGGGGGACCTGGGGGAGCACAGGCGGCTGTTGGGGACTGGGGAGCACAGGCCGGCCTGTGGGGGGGGGGAATGGGGGAGCACAGGCCGGCCTGTGGGGGGGGGAATGGGGGAGCACAGCCGGCCTGTGGGGGGGGGAGGGGGAGCACAGGCCGGCCTGTGGGGGGGGGATGGGGAGCACAGGAGGCCTGCTGTGGGGGGGGCTGGGGGAGCACAGGCGGCCTGGGGGGGGGGCTGGGGGAGCACAGGCCGGCCTGTGGGGGGGGGCTGGGGGAGCACAGGCCGGCCTGTGGGGGGGGGGCTGGGGGAGCACAGGCCGGCCTGTGGGGGGGGGGCCTGGGGGAGCACAGGCCGGCCTGTGGGGGGGGGCTGGGGGAGCACAGGCCGGCCTGTGGGGGGGGGCTGGGGGAGCACAGGCGGCCTGTGGGGGGGGGCTGGGGGAGCACAGGCCGGCCTGTGGGGGGGGGGCTGGGGGAGCACAGGCGGCCTGTGGGGGCGGCTGGGGGAGCACAGGCGGCCTGTGGGGGGGGGGGCTGGGGGAGCACAGGCGGCCTGTGGGGGGGGAGCACAGGCGGCCTGTGGGGGGGGGGAGCACAGGCCGGCCAGCTGGCACCCCACACCAGGCCGCCCGCTCCACAGTCAGGTGAGGGAGGGCTCAGAGAAGGCAGCACAGACTTGACACCTGAGCTTCATCCTGAGGGAGAGGCTAGCAGGCGTCCTCAAACTTTTTAAAGTGGGGCCCAGATCACGGTCCCTCAGAGAGCTGGAGGGCCGGACTATATGAACTACTAATTCCTACTGCAACACCTCGGCTGCGCTCACTGCCCAAAAAACCTGGCGGGCCGGATCAGACTCCTCTGCGGGCCGCATGTGGCCCGCGGGCCGTAGTTTGAAGACCCCTGGAGAGCTTGGACCACAGCGCTCAAGGCTGCAGGCTGGGCTAATCTCGACAGGCCTGAGCTGGCGCCTCAGCAGAGGAGAGCGGTGGGCAGCTCAGAGGTCCCGGTAGCAGGAGCAATGGGAAGGACGAGCTGGCACGGCCATGGAAAGGGCTGTGAACCCCACTGGGAAAAGGATGCTGTTTGTTGTCAGTGACGCTGAAACTAAATGCAGTGTTTCTTTCGATTATGTTTGTAAGCAACACACTACAGTGTAAGCAGAGCCTGTGACTTTGTCTTCAATAAAAACACAAATATCTTCATGTCACATGTTGCAGCAATCTCAAAATATCACTTCAGTCTCTCATTAGTTTGGAATTACACTAATTATCAGGCCATCCCATACCTTGTTATTTTGTTAACTATTTCAGTGCTAACGTGTTTTATTTTATGCATGTGAATCACCCTCCCGAGAAAGGCCATCGCCTTGCACACGGGGTCAGCAGCCCTTTCTGGAGCTTGGAGGCAGGAAGACCCTCAGAACCCAACCCTGAGCATGAGTGGAGCGAAGTGTGTGTGTGTGTGTGTGTGTGTGTGTGTGTGTGGTCTCCGCTCTCCGCTTCTCACCTCTCTCCCATGCTAGAGTCTCCTGGCCTCTCCTGTCTAGTCTCAATGTGCCATGCTTCCGCCAGCCCTTACCTGTTCTCTGCCTTGGAGGGCCGGCTACGGACACTGCCCGCAGCGTCAGGAATTAGGTCACAACAACAACACTGAACCGGCGAGGAGGACGCTGGCCCCCGAGCTCGTCCCCACACACCGAAGTCATGGGCTCGAACCCGGTCAGGGCGTATACTAGAAACAGTGAGCGCATGAAGCAGTGGAACAATAAATCCATGTTTCCCTTTCTCTTCCTCTCTCTCAAACCAATAATAACGCAGTCCATCTAAAAAAATGAGTAAGCGGGTTGGGAGGGATTCGCAGGTATAAATACAATAGCAGAAGTGGTTGTCCAGCTCACATTTAGCTCCGTCTTTGTAACGAGAGAACAGGCCATGGACCTCCTGACGGACGCAGCTGGACAAGGCGACTGCGCCTGGCCGCCCGCTGACAGAGTGCGAGGCGGAGCGCCTGCCACACACCAGGGCACGGGATTGGCAAGACCCAGGTCACCGGAGACACTGTGACTACAGCGCCAATACCAATGTGTAGCTCTTGTTTGGGTCAAACAAACCAGTTGTAAAAATATACTTATGAAACGATCAGGAAAATTTGAACACAGACTGGGTATTGATGACTTCAAAGAAATTTTGTTAATTTAAAAAAATGTGATCATAATATTGTGGTTATAATTTCTTACAGCATTTTACTCTTTTTCATTGAATTTATTGGGATAACATTGGTCAACATAATATACATTGAGCGGCCAGATGATTATGATCTCTGAACGCATAATAATCTGGCCACTCAGTGTGTGTGTGTGTGTGTGTGTGTGTGTGTGTGTGTGTGTTTGTGTGTATGTGTGTGTTAGAAGCCCAGTGCATGAATTCATGCATGGGTGGGGTCCAGCCAGCCTGGCCAAGGAGAGGGCAGTTGGCCAGCCTGCCTGCTGGCTGAACTCCTGGTCCAGGGGACAATGTACATATTAGCCTTTTATTATATAGGATATACAGAGTGGCCAGATTATTATGCGTTCAGAGATCATCAACATCTGGCCACTCAGAGTAGTTTCAAGTGTACATCTCTATGATAGATACATCACCGCATATTGCATCGTGGCTTCTCCATCCAAAGCCAAGTCTTCCGTCACCATTTAAAAAATGCATTGGTTGATTTTAAGAGGAAGGGAGGGAGGAGAGAAGCACTGGTTTGTGTTGCACTTGTCTGTGCATCACTGCTGGTTCTTGTATGTGCCCTGGCGGGAACAAGCCCTCAGCCTTGGCACATCTGGACGGTGCCCCAACCAGCTGAGCTACTGGGTCAGGGCTCCTTCCAGAACCGTTTGTCCCCCTTTACCCTCTTCTACCTCGGCCACCTCCTCAAGTGGTCTTCACTCGAATCCTCAAGGACTTAGCAATGAGGTGACCCTGCAGCCTGGGACTTGCCTTTACCTCAGGGGGAGGCAGGTAATGAGGGGCCAGGGAAGCAGTTGGCTTTGGTCATCGCTGTTGCGGGCAGTGATGGGTCCTTGGAGGCTCGTTAGCGTTATTCTCGCTACCTCGGTATATATTTTAAGGTTCCTAATGATGAGTTTAAAGAAAGGATTAGAGCCGAAACCGGTTTGGCTCAGTGGATAGAGCGTCGGCCTGAGGACTGAAAGGTCCCAGGTTCGATTCTGGTCAAAGGCATGTACCTTGGTTGTGGGCACGTCCCCAGTAGGGGGTGTGCAAGAGGCAGCTGATCGATGATTCTCTCTCATCGATGTTTCTAACTCTCTATCCCTCTCTTCCTCTCTGTAAAAAATCAATAAAATATATTTAAAAAAGAAAAGAAAAGAAAGGATTAGAGCCAAAACCGGTTTGGCTCAGTGGTAGAGCATCAGTCTGCAGACTGAAAGGTCCCAGGTTCAATTCCAGTCAGGGGCATGTACGTTGGTTGCGGGCACATCCCCAGTAGGGGGTATGCAAGAGGCGGCTGGTCGATGTTTCTCTCTCATCGACATTTCTAGCTCTCTCTCTCCCTTCCTCTCTGTAAAAAATCAATAAAATATATTTTTAAAAAAAAGAGAGAGAAAGGATTAGAGACAACTATTAATAAAGTCACAAAAATGACAAGGAAAGAATACGGTCCGAGAGACAACAGAACTGCGGGGAGCAGGTGCGAGTGTCTGGGACCCGCTGCATCGGAGCCCGACCTCGCCTCGGTGGCTCCGCGCGGCTCGGCGGGCGCCCGTGGCTGTGACACGCCCTCCCGCCTGGGCACGCAGACACAGAACAGGAGGAGGGGTGGGAATGTGGGTGTCCGTCCGGAGGAGCTCTGCCCTCCCGGAGGCAGCTTCATTGGGAGGTTACTTTTTCTTTACAACAATTGCTGTCTGAAGAGCCACCCGCCACCATCTCCAGATAGCGCTTTGTTCTCCCACACAAAGCGTCTCTGGTCCTGCCTGCAGGGAGCTATTGTCTGCTGGGTTGGCTGGTGTTTCTCCGCAGGTGGGGAGGAGGAAAGGGGAGAAAGGAGGTTCCCACCCTCACAACACTTTTGTCCTTCGATTACATAGCAATTAACTTTCTCCCTGGCCAGCTGCTCAGTGGTTAGAGCATTGTCTAGCTACCCAAGGTTTCAGGTTTGATCCAACTTAGTCAGGGAACATACAAGAAGCCTCCAATAAATGCAGAAATAAATAGAACAACAAAATCAATATTTCTCTCTTCCTTCCTCTCTCCCGCTAAAGATCAATCATTTTTTTAAAAATAATTAATTTTCAAAGCTTCCCTTTCATCCACTTTACCTTGCCCACATCTAACCATCCTGAGATTAAAAAAATAATAATAAAATGAAACGAATTGCAGGTCCGCATCAGAAGAGCCCGCCAGGCCGTGCTGCAGGAGCGGTGGGAAGCACACGCTGCTGGCTCACTCAGACGTGCTCTATGGCTCTCCTCCCTTCAACTATGTTGGAATATATTTCTCATAGTTCCTCCTCTAATAAAACACCACAGACATATCAACTCTGGAATTCATTGTAATAGGATCTGGTCAATTTGACTCTTTTAGGACCAACCCCCTTGTTTATAACAAATAAAAGGAGATATTCCAAAACAGCAAGAAGGAAAAAGCCCACCCACTTTGATTACTTTCGGATTACTCATGTTGTCTTCTAGCAGCACAAACTAATCGGAAATGGATTCTTTCAGATTTTGTTGCCTCCATTGTTTTTTTTTTATTTTGGTTTTTGTTTCTTACAAATCTTTTCTTTGTAGGTACATGTGCTTTTGCAGGAAGGTCACATGGATAATTATGACCTTTTCTTTCATGCTCTGCGGTGGGCCACACCCATTCTCCTCTCTGCTCCCCCAAAGTGAGCCACACTAACTTTCTTATGGATCTCTTTTCATATTTCTCTGAGACATACATAACACATTCACAAACATAAGGTTTAGTTTTTCTTCGTGTTGCTTGCTTTTTTTTTTTTTTTAATCCTGGCCCAAGGATATTTTTCCATTGATTTCTAGAGAGAGTGGGAGGGAGGCAGGAGGGGGAGGGAGGGTAACGTTGGTCTGAGAGGGACTCCTGGACTGGTTGCCGCCCACATGTACCCCTAGCCGGGCTGGGAACCTGCAGCCGAGGTACATGCCCTTGACCTGGAGTGGAACCGAGAGCCTTCGGTCTGCAGGCCCTCGCTCTAACCACTGAGCCCGGCCAGGCAGTGTGGCTTGCTTTCATCACTCAGCAATGCTTGTGGCATGCCCCAAGCCATCTGCCCTCGCCTCAAACAACCCTGAGTGGCTGCACGGGGTCCGGATGAATAACCCGCAACGGCCCCTTCCGCCCCTGGGCTGCCTGCTCTGGGCTCGGGTTCGAAGCCGGAGGCAGCAGACCCGAAGCCTGGATGCTGCTGTGGGGACTCAGGGGATGGGGCAGAAGGAGCTCCTCCCAGGCTCCGGTGGAGCGAGGCCCAGGAGCCAGGCTCCATCCCGGCAGCGCTCAGCGGGGTTCGGCCGGCGTGGGGGTGCAGGAGGCCGCGGGGCCCTGATTCTCGCCATTGATGCTTCTCTCCCTCGCCTCCCTCTCTGGCATCAATAGATATTGATCTATAAATATTGCTAAATATCTGCCCTCCCCCCCCCCAAAAAAAAAAGCCGGAGCCTGCGGGCACCCACCTTCCACCTGCAGCTCCAGCGCCGCCTCCTCGTGCTGCGCGTGATCGCGGAAGAAGCAGGTGTAGCCGCCCGCGTCCGAGGGGCGCACGCGGCGGATGCGCAGCGCCGCGCGGCCCTCGGCCAGGCCGCCGGGCAGCAGCTCGGTGCGGCCGCGGAACTCGGGCGCCTGCTCCTCCGGCCGGTCGCGGCCGCCGCGGAACAGGTGCACCATGCGGTCGGGCGGCCGCGCCCAGCCCACCTCCATGCCGCTGGCGTTGCGCGCGGGGGCCAGGCGGCACGGCAGCTCCGCCGGGCGCCCCGCCAGCGCGCGCACCGGGCGCTCCGGGCCCAGCACTCGGAACTGCCCTGCGGGACACCGGGCGTCAGGGGCCGGCGTCCGGAGCGGCGTCTGAGCCGCGGGGCCAGGCGGCTCCGAGGCGGCGGCGGGCGGACGCCCCGCGCCCAGCCCCGCGCCCAGCCCGCGCCCCCGCTCGGACTTGGCCAAAGCGGGCGGACCGCCCCCTCCTCCCCCCTGCCTCCCCGGGGCTCAGGTCTGTCTGCTCGGACCCCAGCCGCCAGCGGGGCGCCCCACACCCGCCTGGCCTGTCCCGCAGGGAACGTGTCCCGCTCGAGTGGGAGCCCGCGGAGAGGGCTCCGGAGGGCAGGGCGGGCCTCCTCTGCCAGGGGCTCCGGGCGAACCCAGTTTCTCCTGGGGGCTGAGCACGGGGCACCGCCGGGCTCACCACTCCTGCCCGGCCTGATGCCCCACACTGACCGGCGCGGCTTGGGGATCGGGGCCCCTAAGCTGTCACGGACCATGTCTCCCGGACCCGCAGCCACTCCGGGGCCGCACCCCGTTCCCGCAGCCACGGGGGCCGAGCCCTGTTCGCTGGGAGCCCTGTTCGCGGGGAGCACGCGGACCCGCTCGGAGGGAGGCCGCCCGGCAGCTGGAGGGCGAGCGCGGCACCAGCCTCGCGCCGGGCCGCGGCCGGGGGCCGGGGCCGGGGGGAGGGGCTGGGGCGGGGCCGGGCAGGGGCCCTGCCGGCCGGCCTTACCGGCGTGGCTGGAAGGCGACTGGAGCAGCAGCAGGAGGAGGGGCAGGCGGCCGGGCAGAGGGGAGCACCAGGAGCTCGCCATCTCCGCTCTCCGACGGGACGGCCGGGCACACTGAAGCCGCGGACAGACGGCCGGGCGAGGAGGCAGCACCCCGCCCCCTGCAGCTGTCCCGCGTCACCTCCGGGCCGCACAAAGGGCCTCAGACGGGGTGACAGGCCGGCCTGCCGCCCCAGCTCGAGAGGAGGCTGCCTGGCACCAGCCTCCCTCCGCTCCTCCCCGGGCGCCTTTAAGGGGCTTCTGGGATCTGACCGGCTGGGACCAGACCCACCGCTCCCTCCTTGGACCTCAGGGACCCCCATGTACCCCCGCCCGCCCCCATCCTCCCAGTGTTAGCCAGGGGAGGGTTACTGTTGGCCTTCTTGAGAGGAAGGAACTTTGAGCCTTTTCCTCGTTCTATCACCTCCTGATTGGAACTGCCGGCGGCTTCCCGGCTTCCTCCCGCTCCTCCTGCGGCCCTCCCGCTCCTCCTGGGGCCTGGCCTGCGCCCCGCTGAGCCCACCTCCTGCTCCCCAAGGCAGGCAGGAAGGTGGGGACAGCGTGGTCTTGCAGGACGGGGCCTTCCTTTACCCTCAAGGTCCTCCCACTGGCCTGATGGTCACATAGACATGAAAGACAGCGAGGGAACATGACCAACTAGATTACATGTGTGCACGGGCACCTGAACACATGAGAGCCAGAGGCCCCAGGCAGAGGGGCGCAGGACAGAAAGTAAAATGAGATGCTGCCCACATTCCGAGCGAGGCCCAGGGCTAGACCTTGGGGAGGCCGGAGGGCGTCAGGGTGCAGCGGGGGGCCAGTAACCAGAAGCTGGCCTGCCCTATGGCAGGTGGAAGGGCTATCGCTGACAATCTGCCATCACAGACATGGCCCCAGTCAAACCCCTTCTATGCGGCTAATGAGGACAGAAGCTGCGAGACCACAGGGCCTTGGTTGCCTTTGGGTCAAAGCAATCCACACAGCAGAGAGACACCTGCGGCTCCTTCTGAACGTTCGGAGTTGATGGCCGCCTCTGCTCAGAGAGGCAAGCATGGGAGGTTAGCCAGGATGTCAGGGTAGCCAAAGCCAGAACCGACAGGCCCTGCCGCCTGGCTCCCTCTCCTGCCCGAGTCCTCAGGTCACAGAGGAAGAGCGGAGGGACGGAGAGTTTCCCTCACCTCCCGAGGTCAGCGAGACGGCATCCTCGCCACAGGGATGTGCGCGCGTGAACGTGCTGCCCGGGAAGCCGTGAGCCCCCAGGAAACACCGCCTGCCAGGTGGCTGCCCAGGAAGGGGTGCACAAGCGCCCGGTCCGGTGGGAGACGCACCCCACACAGAGGAGAGCGGCTGTACACGTAAAAGCCGTCCTCTTTATTTCTTTGCACGTTTGCTTCTGTTTCAGTCCGAAGGTGCATAATAATATACTTTGAAGAATGTCCCTCCCAGCCATGTGGCGCCAACTCGTTTCCTCTGCACCCTGCGCGTGCGCCACCGGAGGGAGCCACAGGGCCGTCCTGGGTGAGGAATGGGACTGCATCCCCACCTCCTTTTCTTTATTTTTATTTTTTAAATGTAATAAATTGTTACTGTTCAGATTATTACAGGTGTTCCTCTTCCCCCCTCCCCCATAGCTCCCCTCCACCTGATTCCCCACCCCACCCCATGCCCTTACCCCTGCTGTAAGATTTTTGTCCATTCGCTTCCCGCACCCCTCAGACTCCCTTCCCCCTGAGAATTGTCAGTTCACTCCCTTTCTATGCCCCTGATTCTATTATATTCACCACTCCATTCTGTTCTTCAGAATTTTTTATTCACTTGATTTTTAGATTCACTTGTTGGTAGGTATGTATTTGATGTCTTTTTGTTGTTCATAGTTTTTACCTTTACCTTTTTCCTCTTCTTTAAGAATACCCTTCAGCATTTCATGTAATCATGGTTTGGTGGTGAAGAACTCCTTTAGTTTTCTCTTGTCTGTGAAGCTCTTTATCTGGCCTTCAATTCTGAATGATAGCTTTGCTGGGTAATCTTGGTTGTAGGTTCTGTTCATCACTTTGAATATTTCTTTTAAAAAATATATTTTATTGATTTTTCTTTCAGAGAGGAAGAGAGAGGGATAGAGAGCTAGAAACATCAATGAGAGAGAAACATTGATCAGCTGCCTCTTGCACACCCTCCACTGGGGATGTGCCTACAACCCAGGTACATGCCCTTGACCAGAATCAAACCTGGGACCTTTCGGTCAACAGGCTGATGTTCTATCCACTGAGCCAAACTGGTTTTGGCTGAATATTTCTTGCCACTCCCTTCTGGCCTGCATAGTTTCTGTTGAGAAATCAGCTGACAGTCATATGGGTACACCCTTGTAGGTAACTAACACTTTTTCTCTTGCTGCTTTCAAGATTCTCTCTTTGTCTTTTGCCCTTGGCATTTAATTATGATGTGTCTTGGTGTGGTCCTCTTTGGATTCCTCTTGTTTGAGGTTCTGTGTGCTTCCTGGACTTTTAAGTCTATTTCTTTCACCAGGTGGGGGAAGTTTTCTGTCATTATATCTTTCAATAGGCCTTCAATATCCTGCTCTCTTTCTTCTTCTGGCACCCCAAAAATCCGGATGTTGGTACGCTGAAAGCCATCCCAGAGGCTCCTTACACTGTCCTCACACTTTTGGATTCTTCTTTCTTTCTGCCTCTCTGGTTGGGTGTTTTTTGTTTCTTCATATTCCAGATCTTTGATTTGACTCTTGGGGTACATTGATCTACTGTTGAGTTTCTGTATATTCTTTATTTCAGACAGTATATGCTTAATTTCCAACTGGTCCTTTTCCATCTTTTTGGTATTCTCATTAAGGTCCTCCAAGGTCTCTTCAAGTTCCTCAGCGATTTTTAGAAGATTCTTGAGTGACCTTATAGATGTGATTTTGGAGAGGAACCAAGATGGCGGCATAGGTAAACGCCTATCTGCAGCCTCACACAACAATTTCAAAAAAATGCAACTAAAATACAAAATGGACATTATCCAGAACTACAGGAAAGTTGACTGACTGGAAATTCTACAACGAGAAGGAAAGAGAAAACCAGAAGGAAAATCAGAGGAGCTGTAAAAGCCTAGGGTACGGAGACACAATGTGCACACGGAGAGGATGGAGCTGGAGAGGAGGGGGAGGCTGAGTGCCCGGCTGGCATTCCCTACCGAGAAGGAGACAAAAGCTCTGTACTGTGCTGAACCCCAGATCCGACAGCACTGAACTCAGTTCTAGGCAAGACCCTGGGGACCCAAGCTCATACAAAAGGAATTTAGGCTGTAAGGCAGGAAATTCAGGGGAGCGGCGAAAGGCAGTCAACGGACTGTTGACTGTCTTGCTGGATTGCCCTAGCGGGAAGGAAACAAAGGTCTGGGTTGCTCTGAACCCCACTTCCAACCCCAGTTCCAATGGCACTGAACCCCAGTTCTGGGTTCATTGGGGGAGAGTCTAGACTGTCTGGTAGTGCCTTTTTCTCAGAGGTGCTTGCAGCAAGTACTGAAGGACACAGGAACACTGAGACTTAGGAACCTCATAGGGCAGGACTGACGGGAAGCCAAGGCTGTAGGCTCCACCCTGAAACTCCGCCCCATCCAAGCTGAGCACAGAGGCTTTTTCAATTTTCTAAGTCTAATTGAATAAGGCTGACTCCTGGCATAGACACAGCTGATCCTCACAGCCAATTGGCCTGGAAGTCAGTTCCTCCCAGTGATACCAACAACAATAAAGACTAAACTACAAGGCTGTACACACAGTCCACAAAGGGGTGCACCAAGACTGTCCACCTCAGGTAACTGGGAGGCTGACTTGCCGGGAACCTGGAACCAGGAACCAGGAACAGGGAACCAAAACCTAGCATTGTCATTGGAGATAAAATGTAAAAAGAGCTATGCGACCTTGATGGCTCTGAATGGTCAGAGGCATTAACTCTTTGTATAGTTGAGATAGTGGTGCTTGAGGCAACTTTAATCTGTTAATCATATGTAAATGTAAGTTGATTTTCTGCTGTTAGAACTTCCTCCTTAAGAGATATCTTTGTTTCAGAATCTCAATAAAAGGAATGGTAAAAGGCCAAAGAGCGGTTAGTCTTCCCACTAGAGGTAGACTTCCCGCCTGGCCCCCATTTTCCCAAATTAACTCTTTTCCAGTCTCTCTCTTCATTTTAGTGTGCGGCCTTCTCCAGAAACCGGACCCTGAGTGGGCCCTGAACCACGCGGGTCGTGTTAAGGGATCCCACACTGACTCACTGAACCATATAGGACACCTTAGCACACAAAGCCACCCCACCAACTCTGTGAAAATGCCGAGACAAGGAAACAGATCACAAACGAAAGAAATAGAGGACAGCCAAAACTGGTTTGGCTCAGTAGTAGAGCATCAGTCTGCGGACTGAAAGGTCCCAGGCTCGATTCCGGCCAAGGGCATGTACATTGGTTGCAGGCACATCCCCGGTAGGGGGTGTGCAAGAGGCAGCTGGTCAATGTTTCTCTCTCATCGATGTTTCTAGCTCTCTATCTCTCTCCCTTCCTCTCTGTAAGAAAATCAATAAAATATATTAAGAAAGAAAGAAAGAAAGAAAGAAAGAAAGAAAGAAAGAAAGAAAGAAAGAAAGAAATGGAGGGCAAAAAGCAACTGGATATAGAGTTCAAAACCACGCTTATAAGGTTTTTCAAGAATTTCCTAGAAAAGGCCGATAAAATGAATGAGACCTATGAGGATATGAAAAGGGATCAACTAGAAATAATAAGGGATCAACAAGATATAAAGAATACATTGTCTGAAATAAAAAAATATTATACAGAGTCCTAAAAACAGAATGGAAGATCAAAAGTATCAGTCAAAGATTTGGAACATAAAGAGCCAGAGAACACTCCTCTACAGAAGCAAGAAGACAAGAGAATCCAAAAAGTTGAAGATAATGTAAGAAACCTCTGGGACAACTTCAAGCGAACCAACATCAGAATTATGGAGGTCCCAGAAGATGAGAGAGAGCAAGATATCAAAAACATACTGAAAAAAATAGTGACAGAAAACTTCCCTCATTTGGTGAAGGAAATAGACTTACA